CACGAGCAGGGTGGTGCGACTGTTTGTTTTCAGATTCGCGCTGCTAGCCGAAGTGGATGACTTTCTAATCTTCTTACGCTTTCACACTATTCATGCTTATCAATGCCTAAAAATGAATAAGCAGTTTTTATGCGTACAATTCTCAAACTTACAAATGAAATCGTCGAAAAATGGCGTTTTGCTTGCTGCTACCAGCGGTGCGCTGTCGTCGTTCCGACGGGAGCGACACTTGAAGGCCCGGACAGGAAGCTCGCAACATGCCACTGGCTTGACTTAATATAGTATACGAGGTACAGCTTCGTTATTTCTTCCGCCGTTTGCATATGTTGTAACATGAACAAGAGAGAACTCTTTCTTCTGAATAATAGAGCCACAAAAATTGTTTCCTATAAAAAATGGGGCAAAATCGCCAGGCAGATCGCATTTGCAAAACGCAGAGAAGATTTCAAGTAAAATTCTTTTAATGAGACTGTTTGTAAAGGTGATGAGGACGGGCAACGGGTTCTGAAAATCGGCACAACATAACGTTTCGCAAGAATCTGTGCTCGAAGATCGTGTAGCCTTGGCTCTGCTGCATGGAACTCATGAAACAGAGTATAGATCAGCTCTCTGTAGTTTTATGCGTACATAAATTGCCTTTTCTTTGATGACACCATTCCGCCCTAACGATTCAACCCATTGCAATTATGTAAACATGTGCCAACGCACGCACATCTGACAAAGTTTAGGAGGAGGTGGAGCAGGGGCCATTTCTTTAAAACGATGGCTTTGACTTTTGCAAGGCGCTCGCCATTTTACTATGAGCCTTAGCCATTGATTGATATGTAGGGTTTAATGTCTCAAAACCACCATATAATTACTAGAGACGCAGTAGTGGGGGGATCCGGAAACTCAACATCCTTGGGTTCTTTAACGTGCAGCCAAATCTGAGCACACGGGCTCGCCTCCATTGGAAATGCAGCCTCCGCAGCTGGGATTCGATCCCGCGACCCACAAGTCAGATAGTACCTTAACCACTAGACCACCACCGCCGGGCTAGAGCCTTGACCATGGTCGTCAGAAAGATTTTCTCTGGGGGAGGGGGGGATTATTTGAAAAAAAAAAAAAAGGCGGAAACGTAAGAAAATGGGGTGTGGAGTGCACGATAACCGTCTCTCATGTGAGGACACCTTCGATACAATCACGGGGAATGAAGGGATAGTGAGAGTGAGGAAAAAGAACGTAGGATAAAAAGAAATGGGGGGGAGATTAAGCCAAGGTGTTGAAAAAAGATAACTAGCGTGATGGGAGGAGGACACGCTTCACTGTGGCTAGCGAATTATAAAAGTCGCTCGGTCAAGCTGGTGTCCTCAAGAAAGTTGAGTAAGGCCGCAAGGGCAGAGCAGCGATGGCCTACGTAGCCGGTGGAGTGTAGGAGGTCCTGCAGGGTCATACATGGCAGTCCGGCGAGATGGTGATGGTATGCCTTGACGAGCCACTCTCGCGCTTTACCGAGCGCAGGACACTCACACATGAGGTGAGAAAGTTTCCACCGCGCGCAGTCAGCGTAGTTCGGTGAGCTCACACTGCGCAGATGATGCTTCCGTTCCGCTTGCTGGTCCTAAAGGCTACGAAGAGCCCTCGCTCGCGGTAGGTGAAACCAACTCGCCCAAGTCAAAGTGCTTTTAAAACCAGTCGCTGGCATGGGAGGAGGGGGACGTCCAGCGGCAATCCGAGCGTCAGGATGCTTGCACTTTAACTCCCGGTGAGGTTGTTGCATGGCGAGTCAAAAGAGTTTGAGGCCTTGGCGGAGTAGGCTCGTTTACCGAGTTCGTCTGCAGTTTCGTTCTTCGAGTTGCCGACGTGTAAAGAGAAGCACTGGAGCACAAGATCACAGCTGCGCTCTTGAAGGGCCAGTAGGCTGCGTTCAGCATGCTGAGCCAGGAGCGGGCCATGTTCCTCCCTCACGAGCTGGCTCAGGGCAGGTTTTGAATCACAGATAATTGCTGCGCTCATGACAGCTGGCGATTCGCGTAGGAGGTCGGTAGCCAACAAATGCCTAACTAGCTGAGCCGCTGTGGAGGATGCAGAATACTGCAAGCGGCACTGTTGCGCCGTGCCAAGTTGAGGGGCTATGCAGGTGGCCGTAGCAGAGCCATCCCGCTGAATGGACCCATCAGTGAACACTTGCGTCGTTCCAGACAGGTCCCCGTACGTTTGCGCCGCAAACTCATGCGTCATGGCACTGAGCGGGGTGTGGCGCTTTGATCGGACTTCCAGCAAGTGCAGGTTCACTCGAAGGGGCGCTCGCTGGTGAGAGAGCGGCCAGCGCGAAGAGCCCGTGGGATCGTCAGCCACAACGCCATCGTAGACGTCCAGGAGTTGTCCGACACGAGAATTCGGCACAGCACGTAACCGCGTGAGCAAGGAGCCAGCATGCGCTGCCCTGTGGAGATGCTCCAAGTGGCACAGTGTGTGCAGGTCCGCTGTGTGCAGAACAGTGTTGCATTGCATCTAAGAGAGGAGGAAGGCACTTGAGTAGGGTGAGGGCACGTGCTGATGAGGCTTCGTGGGGAGCAAGTGCCCTTTTGTAACCTCCTGCCAACGGCCATGGCCTTCGCAGCCTAAAATGCAAGAGCTCGGAAACGCCAATGCATCCAGCAACAATCTCGTAAAGGTATTGCCAAAATGATCACTTGTCAGGTAAGCAAATTGGGTACGAGTAAATTCAAATGGGAATATTGCACGGCATTAAAGAATTTTTCAGTTTCTCTGTTTTTGAAGAACAGCTCTAAAGCACTAATTTTCTGGCTCCTGCAACTATTTTTTAGGGTTCTGTAAAAGATGCATCAGCAGGGTTCTACGTCTAATAGGCAAGCGCTGCAATTTTTCTATGCAAAACGTTGAGCCACGCCAAAAGGTAGTGTTTTGAAGATGGAGCACGAAATGTCTACAGTACCTGCAGAGAAATCATAGCTAGTTGGGCAGGTCAACACAAATGATGCTCACAACACAAACGCAAGTAGCTTTTCTGTGCACCAAATGTATTCCCATCATCTACAAATCGCACAACTAGACAAGCAAGCAAGCAGACAGAATCTCATTAGGGGAAACACTTGCACAGCAGCCTATAGCACAATAATACATGTAGTTGTTGACCCATGGCACCAAACTGCGGCTGAAACTATGCAACCAGCTGCTAAATACATAAATCATGTGATATATTAAAAAATCTGCATCTGACGGTAGTCTCAAATATTTTCAAACTTGAAAGTTTATGCATAATTTATACTGTAAGGTGTAGAGAACCCTAAACATGCTCACCAGAGGAGTGAAAGAGTGACAACTTTGTATACTGAAGGGGTGAGGGATGCAAGGTCACGTAGGCTGTCGGCTGTGATTTTATATTACTTCTAAAGCCTGTTTCATAACCCACGTCTCTCCTTGAAATAATGAAAACAGCACTGCGAGTACATTTTAACTGCATTCCCACTGTCTACGAATTTCAAAGCTAGACATGTATGCAAGCTGCAACAGTGTTATTGGGTGAGTGACAGGACAGTGGCTTGTAACACACTAATCCATGTAACCAGCACTGACCTGTGGGAAAAAAAAATGCAACCAGCTGCTAAGCAAATAAATTAAGGCTTTGCATTTCTAAGCCGCTGATATATTAAAGGGGCCCTTTTCAAGTAGCCATGGAATGGATGCACTCAAAGAGCTTATAGTCTCACAAATTCGCCCTCCCCCAATAAAAATTCTAGAATCCGTCTAGTACGAGCCGAGTTACAAAGATTTACAAAGTTACGTTGCAAAATGTCACGCGCACCTTAATTGTGACTGAGTACTTTATCCTTTTTGATTCTTTGACTACCCAGCTATCTCGGCTTTTTCAGTGCGATCACGCACCTACGCGTGGACAAATCGTGGCGACCTCGTAACGACAGAGCGCACAAAATTCAAATTGGCCAATGGCTGATGTAATGGCTAGGATAATGACTGTGACGAGTGATTTTTGGGCTTCTGTCATTTGTTGAGAGAAGAGAAAGCAATATTCAGCTGGCTCTGAAGTTTATCAAGAATTCTGGGCCGCATGCTGAACTATAATATTTGGCTCACTTGTTCTCGGGAGCCTCTACTATCGATTGCCAGTGTTTTCTGACCATGCTCAAAAAGTGTTGCACGCACATGATGGTTCAATTATTTTGCAACCTGTAAGCTTACGCGCCACTTATATCTTAAAGGGACACTAAAGTCAAATAACAATTTACATCAGAGTGAAAGCTCAATGTATGACAACATCTAAAACGACAATATTATCAACAGCAGTATCCTACTTACAGACAAATTAAGGAGAATGCACAAGAATACATGCACCACAGAAGGACATTCTCAAAATGATACCGATGACATCATACGAACCGCCTACAATTAATCACTAGTAATTGATCTAGCTGCACTAAATAAAGAACCTTCTGTGCATCAAGAAACACAATAAAATGCTGCTTGTTCATTTTCTGTTTGATTAATGAAAAAAAGAAGAGCCAAATGTTACTATAGAAAAAAGTGCGAATGGCTCAAAAATTCAATTTTTGCGTGGTTACACTGGACAGGTCGTGTCGTAGCGGGGTGCAGTTGAACCAAAACAAGTCTGCCATCTTAGAGCCAATGGCAGGAAATTGGTCAATGGTCGTTCTTTCTGCTGTGGCTCCCACTGCTTTACTTCTGTCTACTAGTGTCGGTGACCACGCAGTAAAGCCGGGCAACATTGTGCACGGCAACAGTGACGTGAGTCGGTCCGCTTCTTGAGATGGCTAATTTGAACTGCGCTAACCCAATGCGGGCCACTAAAACGTGATTTCATTTAAAATAAGCTTTCCCTTGGCACAAAAGTAACACTACGATGTTTCTGGACCGATATATCAACAATCAACATAGACTTAGTAGTTGCCTCCAGTGTTCGGGGTAGAGAACTTTTATCATGCTTCCATAGCAGTTCTCCTTGAAATAATGAAAACAGCTGCAAGCATTGCAAGCAGGTTTTATTTGTATCAACTGTGTTCCAATTGCCTACAAATTTCAGAGCTAGACAAATAAGCAAGCTGCAAACAATGTTATCGGGTGGGACACTTGCATGAGTGACAAGACATTAGCCTAAAACACAATAATCCATGCCAATTTCGAACCAGCTCTGACCTGTGGGTGAAAATATGTCACCAGCTACTAAATACATATATAATATAAAATCGAACTTCTAAGCTGCCGATAAATTAAAAACCCAGTGCGTGATTGTGTTATACTTTGCAACTTGAAAGTATTACACAATTTATATCTTGAGATATAAAAAAACTTTTATCATGCTCCCATAGGTGTTTCACCTTGAAATAATGAAAATAGCTGCAAGCAGGTTTTTTTTAATAATTCTCATCGTCTACATACTTGAGATAGCTAGACAAGCATGCAAACAATGTTGTTGGGCGGCACACTTGCAAGAGTGACAGCGGCACAGTAATACACGTAATTCTTGAACCAGCAATGAACTGTGGTTGGAACTGTGTCACCAGCTGCTAAATACATATTTCTAAGGCGCTGATATATTGAAAACACAGAGCGTGATGGTTGTCTTAAATATTTTGCAACTAGTAAGCTTATGTGTAATTTATACCTTAAGGTGTAGAGAACCCTAAATATGTTCAGCAAAGGTCCTTGTAATAATGAAAACAGCTGCCAATTGTGCAAGAGCACAGATGTGCTGATTTTATGACAATACTGGGTCCGAGATCAGGATGGCATGAAGAGCAAGCGACTAGATCGAAAGCAAGAAAAATATATTCACCAAGAGGGCAGTGAAAAGTAGGTGCAGGAAGAATGTATAGCTTGCATAATTAGTGCTGCACTTAGAATCTATCAAAGCCAGTCTTAAAAGAGCTTAGCCCGTCGCTTGAGGTCATTGCGTTTCCATTCGGGTAGGCGGTAAAACTCCAGCCGGCTCATGTGAAAGAGGGCCTGGAATTCCTCATTGGACAGATGACGCTGAAATAGCAAATCATATGCCTCATTAATGCAATCAACTACAGAAAAAAAGCCTCGCATCCTTCTTTTAGTCAATATCAGTGCAGTACCCAATAGTTTATTTCTGAATTAAAGAGGGGAATACTGTATACTTTGCCGGCAACTATAATTGATGATTTATTTATAGTAAGCAGGAGGACCATAATACAACGGAAGGCAAAAAATGAATGCAGGAGGGTGCTAGAATGCAGTAGGAACATATTAAAAATCAATAACACTCCCAATCGTTCTCTAAATGCTGTAATGTCCCATCACGAGCAAAAAGTTTTTCTTGCAGAGTGATGTTTTACATATATGATGGACTTCAGCGTTTAAAGAAAGCTATATAGAAATGCCAAGCAGGCAACTTTTCTGCAAGCCTTCAACATAGGAATACAGTGGTGATGGATGAACAGTAGTGAAACAGAGTACATTGGTTGGGAGCAGTCAAAAGTGCCTTTTGTAGTAGGCTTCAAGCAGCTAGAAATATTTTTTGAGCAAGCTCTAAAGCAGACAAAAAATTATTCTGTAAGCATGTGGCACCATTTTACAGTGCTTGTGGAGCAGAATTTTGTAACAGAATGCTGCATTTAGCAAACATTAACCTAAACTGAGAAATAGCCTTATTTAGCTACGTACACACACGTACATATTGCCCTTTTCATTCTATTTTATAAAGCTTATCTCCCAATGGCCACATTCGTGCTAGGTGATACTATGCCCCGAGAAAATCTGTTCGTATGAATATATTACAAATAATAACAGCAAACAATTGAGCACTATGAAGGATTGATTGATTGATTGATATCTGGGGTTTAACGTCCCAAAACCACTATATGATTATGAGAGACGCCGTAGTGGAGGGCTCCGGAAATTTAGACCACCTGGGGTTCTTTAACGTGCACCCAAATCTGAGCACACGGGCCTACAACATTTCCGCCTCCATCGGAAATGCAGCCGCCGCAGCCGGGATTTGAACCCGCGCCCTGCGGGTCAGCAGAGCACTATGAAGGAGCTAGACAAACTTTATTTGTCGAAACTTACACCATCTACAACCAACACAAGCTAGGAGAAACTAAGTTTTACCAGCCAAATAACTTATATAAGCAAAATAACAGAACATGACCTTAATTTAGATTGTAGAGAAAAAATATTTATTTTCAGAGTACAAGTTCAAAAAACATGCTAACGCAAGAAAACACTCGATCTGATGGATCATAACAGTACTACTGTAAGCAACAGTAGTAATAGGGCAATGGGAATTTCGTACTGCATGTATTGCGTTACACATAAAAATAATTGGCATTATATGTCTCGATACACTCCTTTTGGGACCTATAGTGGGCATTTTGAAAGCCCCGCGCAGCATCACTTGTGGTGCGACGGTTACGCAACGTTGAGAATCGTATAGCAGACAGCAGCTCCACATTGCCGACAGCTGTGGTGACAAAAGCGCCCGTAGCTGGCACGTTGGCTCTTCGAGCAGAATTTTAAGATATCGTAGGAAGACATTCTTCTGCGATGCTACTATGAATAAATGGGAAAACCTGCACGAAAGTGACCATGTTTTCTACGTTAGTAAACACCTTGCTGCTCGTTGTCAGTAGTGACGGCAAATGCATGCGTCAGGTTTGTGCAATACAAGATGCTTGCTTCATAGCTGTCGCGGTAAGCTGATATTTTTCAAAGTTGGAATATTATTGATGCGTGCCCACTACCCACGTACTTGCAAAATACTCACAGCATTTTGAAATATTGATAGCTCCCCAGCCCTTCGCCATGAAAATCATGGGAAGTGGCTGGCGGCAAGCTCATTTATTGCGGCTTCGTGCCATGGCGATTTGCAGTCACAAATCTCGCGAATTGTTTTGCTTGAAATTGTCGCGGCATCATCCTCAGTCATCATGACTATGCTCTTCACCTCACCGCTCGCACAGCCATGCTAAGAGCTTTAGGCGCGGGGAAGAAAGAGAACAGTTAATGGAGAGTACCTTAGTAACCTGCGCTTTGCCGATCAATATATTTACACAGCCCAAGACTACGAGTAGTTATGACTAACTACAGAAGAAGAGACAAGGACAGAAAGAGCGCTGACTTCAACTGAAATTTTATTAGTGAAAACGCTGGAAATATATACTCGTGACAGAACATCACCGCACAATCGCACAACCTATTGCATCACAGCAAGATAATCATCATCTCATTATATGGTTACAAAACGCCACAGCTCAGCACAAGTTCACAATCTATTGTGTCAAAGCCAGAAACTCGATTTCTTTTTTAGTCAGAGCAAGCGAAGGCATGCTGCTACATCGATCACCCAGCATTTGCATTTCATTGGCTACAACAGTGCACTTTTCGAATTCCGGTCTGCAACCACAATCCCTACAATGAATGCCCAAAAGCTTTTCGAATTCCGGTCTGCAACCACAATCCCTACAATGAATGCTCAAATGACATTGCACAGCTGAGTATACATGGTGATGATGCTTCTTTAAATGCTCATTCAGGCACCGGCCCGTTTGCCCAACATATATCTTGCCGCATGACAACGGGAGCAAATAAACCACGGCTATCACACATGCTACGAATAGCCTTCTATGTTCGATTGTGCAGCAGCTCTTTTGTGCGGACTGCGGATTCACCCATTTGCAGATTGCTGAAAGCTTTTTCTGGGGCAGAGAAAACCACTTTCACATCTACCTTATCACCTATCTTTTTCAAATTGGAGAAATCCTATGTAGATAGGGAATCACAGCCATGCGCTTTGAGCTGCTAGCCACGCAGTTCACTGGTGCTTCTCGTCCTTGTTAAATGGTCCTAAGCACCAGCACATGATCGGGGAAACCAGCGCTGATCAGACGGGAAGCCTGCTCAACAAAGCTGCTGAATAACGAGTGGCCGCAAGACTTTCGGAGGGCATTTCTTAAACAATAATTAGCAATCCCTCTCTTTACGAACTTTGAATGAGCCGACGAGTACGGTAGAAGAGGTTTGCGACGATAAATAAGAAACCAAATAACGTGGATCAGGCAAACGAAAAGGAAGGAGCACTCCTATTACAATTGAAACTACGATTTGCCTTATCTCAAAATATACACTAGCCCAGGCATAGCTCCGTTTTGTAATCAAGTGAACGGCATGCGTATTCAGCTTTTTACGAGACAGAAACACAACGTGATACATGCAATTGGCAGCACGAGTTGCAGCGCAGAGCTACTTCAAAAACAGTTAAGGCCTATTCTGTAGCATAGCAGCAACGTAGCACAAAAGTGCTTGTGAGAGGCTCGCTACACATGTGCCTTTATCAACATTGGGATCGCTGGACAAGTTCTTCAACTTGAGGTAAATCTGATGCAGTTCGTCGAAGAGTCTTGATGTTTGCACGCACAGTGCAACCATTTCTCCTGTTTTGCCAGCGAAATTCTTTATTTCGATGAGAATGAGGCAGTCTGCAGCCAGCACCCTTTTGCCTTCGACAAAGCAACGGAATCCGATGCCACAATTAAGAAATTTCAGCACAGTGCCAAGCGAAAGTGCTGAATTGATATAGTGTACTAGAATATAGGGTAGCATGTTCAGGTGCCCTCATTTTCCATGCATCGCGTGAAGCAGCCGCATTATTTCAAGCTTAAAAAACGAACAAACAAATCACTCTACAGGTCCTGTCGTACAGCTATGGGCATTGGCATGGGTGCAAAAAAAGCAGTGCCCTCCCCCCTAAGCAGCATCAGCCCTTCCCTCTCCCACCCTCGCTAACTTCCCCGAAGACCATTTTTTATTGTCCTGCGGACATCGGTGACCAGAGACTTTCCAGAATAGTCATTTCAATCACGATGTCAAAAAGAAAAACAGTCTGTGAGCGCAAGTAGCTAGGCACCAACAAAGCCAAAATTAAGCTACCCAGCTATGAATGCATTTTCCCCTGCAAATTCTGCCCATGGCATTTTTCTGATTGGAAACCAAAATTTTCTTTTCAGACAACCTTTTTTGACCTTGCATGAGCTACGCCTGGGTTGTTTGCTAGCGACATGGTGCTTTTGCGCTTCAGATATTTTCACCTGGGTGAAGTAAAGCCCCTCCATCGCATCTACTGCTGCTTTTTCAAGTAGTGCCAACCATTGTTCTGCTGCCACATCCGCTGCCTAGTTTTGGTTTCAAAGCTTCTGAGAGGAAGTTATTGAGCCACCTCCTTCCGCCTTTCCCTTCCATCTTGTTTCTGCGCAGGCGAGAAAGTAAATATTTTCTTCCTCGTACCACAACTGTTGTCCAGAGTTTCATCCTACGCTTGTGAGGAATGCCACCTCTCTGCTGTGCACTAGGCTGCCCGACATGGTCCACAACCGAGCGGTGGGATAGCATGAAAGAGGCAGGGTGGGCGCATCGGGTGGTGTGAGCTTTTTTTACTTCACTCTAGTCATAAGGTGCATAGCATATGAGGCAACGTTTATAGATACTTTTAAAGATGATAGTCTTTCTTGGGAACTTTCGACGCAAAAATTTTGGTCTGTCTGTCTGTACATTTGTCTGTTCGTCCACTCTTAACGGCATTGGGTACTTGAAACGTTCGACTCCATCTGCAGCGCCCGCCTATGTTGCTCAAGGTTGAGCATTCATGCTTGTGCAGTTGTCAATTAAAAAGCAATTATTGGGCATGCCTGGGCAACCATAACAACACGCATATATTCTGCATGTGCATCTCTTACTAGAAAAAGCATACATAAGTAATTTTAAGGACAGTAGCGCTTATCACGCTGCGCTGACCATGCAACGCTTGCACGGAAAGGCGAGTGTTTCCAACGCTTTGCTAAAACGAAACGGTAGTGGCACCCACCTGTCGCCTTGCAATCTACACCTTATCACCTCTGAGATAAGCGCGCACACCAGTCTCAGAGCCACGCGCTTTGTTTTGTAAGACAACTGCCAGATGTCGCTTATGTCTCATATGTGACGTGACTTGATGCGCTCGTTCGCCTCCGCTG